GAGAAAATCTCTGAGCTATGAATCCCATTTCAGTGTAGTTTCAGCACGATTTTAGAAAATTTTAGGCATTCATTTTATTGGCTTTTTTTTGGACAAAGATGATGGCTGCCATTGATTAGAGGTTGGAACATTTCCACTGATTTCCACCAGCTCCACAGACACCAACCCCAAAGCCAGGATGATCTAATCTAAAGCAAAACATATCCCAGCAGCAAAAATCCTGTTCCCAAAGACATTGACCAGTCCATCATCCAGAGGTGAAAAGACAAACCATGCACAGCATCATCAGGGCTGCAAGAGATCCTCAAGATCCAACAGTCAACCCAGATTCAGCTCCTAAATTACATCTCCAAGCGCCACATCCTCTTGACACTTCCAGATCTGTGTCCCCACCACCTCCCTGAGCAGATTATTCTAAAACCTGATTATTCTTGCACTGATTTTTTTTTTTTTCCAGTGTCTAATCTGAACCTCCTGTGGGAAACTGAAGGCCATTTCCTCTCGTCCTTTCCCTGGAGATTTGGCAGAAGAGACTCACCACAACCTCCTTCAAGGCAAACAAACACAGTCACTTTTAATTCACTTGGGTTCAGCCTCCTCCCTCCCCTGCTCTCATGCTCCAGCATGAAACCTCATTAACACTTAATTTGCAGCACAGAAAAATGCAATTTATATCAAGAGAAACAGAGTCTATCCCCTTCCAGACACACCAGTAGCTGTTATTTGGAAATGCTGGCAATAATAAATGAGTTTGCTCCTGTTTCCAGACTAGCAGGGCTTGGAAAGAGCGTCCCTGTGCTTCCAGGAGCCACCTGTACTATGTGGGGCAGCTTGATATAAATATTATATACAATTATATACCTTATCTACATATAGAGTTTCAGATATCTCTGCAGCCTTTCATGTTCCTGTAAAACTCGGTGCAGTTTGGGTTCTGAGTTCTCCAGCTTCAAATGCTGCATTTTAATTCTACTTAATGAATTAGATATGCTTTAGAGCTGTAATAAACTTTTCTTATGAAGATATTTCTGAAGCACTGAGTCACATTGCTTACTGAGAATAAACACTGAAACAATATGTTTACATAAATAATTTAAAATCCAAGAGCACAGTAGGTAATAAAAATATATTGCCATGATAAGCCACGAAACCAGAAAACAACACTGCTCTAATTAAAAATTACAAATACATGGCAGTAAACAACTTATTTACACGTAGTTAAAAGTCTAACTATTGAATATTCTGGACTTGTTGAATCCCATAAAAAGGAAAAATACTGAAACCAATCTCTTCACACAGTCAAATATTGAGAACCATAACTGTGTTTAATTAAGATCTACTGTTAATAATGGATTTCAGAGTGAGGTTCTTCTTTTAATTTCCCAAGGTAGAAAATGTTATTAAATTTGGCCTTTAACTTCTCTTTGACATCTACACTTGAAACTTCTGATTAAAATTTCAGAGGTTGGGAAGAAGTACCCAAAATTAAACTCTCAAATCTGGCACAAAAATAACAATGGTCCCTGATTAAGAAATCAAATTTCAGAAACTTCATTACTGTTCTATTAATAAATTGTTGGGTTATAATTAAAATGGGGCCTGCTGGATTTCTTTCATTTTTTAATTCTAGAAAAGACGGAAACTGTAGAGAGATTTAAATGCTTAAAGAAAAAAAAAAATAGAAATAAGAGAAAAAAAAAAAAGAAAGGTTAATGTATCTGAGAAATGTGACCCAGCTTGAACTGTTTTTTTTTCTTCCTGGGAGCAATGAGAGTGGAACAAACACTGTTTTCCACCTCTTATTTCCAGGATGATGCTTCCACATCTACGTCAAGTTCCTCTGGAATTTAATGTCAATGGGATAGGGAAGAGCTGGCACCCTTCAAGTTCTGCCAGTGCAGACAAACGGCCACAGCCTGAGGTCTGTGATTTGGAGTCTTTTTTCTTTCACTGAAACACATTTTTTGCCAGCTTGTTTGAGCTTTGAAATGAAATTCTTCCTCAGCCTGCAAAAACACTTGAAGCTGAAGAATAAGAAGGAAAATTGCTTCAAAAGTACAGCTGTCTTCAGGAAATTTTACAAAGTAAGCTATGTTTTTCAGAGATAAGTAATTTGATTCTGATTCAGATCTGCATTGTTCAAAGAATAAATTCAATCTAGTTGCAGACAATGGCAAAAATGGTTTCTCTACTCTTTTTTGTTGGTCTTGAAATGCATTTATCATGTTATATCTAGCAGAGTAACTAAATTTCCTGATTACAAATAATCAGCAGCTCCTTCTACAAGTTCTATACAGAAAATTAACTAAAAATATCCCTGCAGTTAGATGTATTTCAATTGTAACAGGCTGAAAAAAAGAACCCAAAACCCACCAACATTACTAATTTTCTGCTGGTCTGCCCATTTTAAAGAGATTTATACTGTGCTGGGGGTGATGTACACTGCTCACACAGCACAAATCTGACATCCGTGGCTTCTTGCAGACAAAACATTGCTTGCTCATGGTCATTAATATTCAAATAATCCACAGACTCATTCAGTAGCCTGTGCCATCCCAGCTTGGCCTTTATTTTATCATATAGCCATAGCAAGGACTGATGGCACAGTTATAGACTGACAACCACAAATTTTGTACCTGTAGAAGTCCTGCACATTGTCCCTCACTCCAAACACACAATTGGAATTGGAGGTAAATATTTCAGCCAGACCCCAGCCAGTGAGAGCAGTTTTGGCTTTTACACGAGGAATTTGACCCTGTCCTTCACTGCAGATGCTGCTCTCATACCACAGCCTGCCTCTTTCACTGCTGGTACCCAGCTGTTTCAACACCTGTCAGCATTAAAACATCTTCTAAATGCTGTTTTATGCTTCCCTGTGATTTTAGCAATGGGACTGACAGGTAGTCAAATTAGCCTTTTTCTGATGCATTCTACCATTTCCAGATTTCCATTACATTTGCATTATTTTCCTCTAACACAACCACTTTCATGGTTTCTTTATGTGATCATTCCTCATTCCAGTCTAGCTTAATTCTGCTTTCTTTTCTGCACATAAAAATTAAAAAAAAAATAATAAAAAAAAATCTTGCTTTTGGCTATAAGCCTTCCATGCCTGGCTATGCAGATATAGTAAAACTTCTGGGAAAATTCTCTTTGAGTTAATCAAGATTTGGGGATTCCTTGGCAGGCAGTTGTGAGGTGTGGTGAGCTGCAGTTTATGTTATTTGGTTATTTACACACCACCCTTAAAGCTGATTGAAGAGTACTCAGTAACTCCCTGGGTGCCCTTTTCATTCTGGGTCAATATAATTTGGAGAAATTCAGCAAAATGATAGGTGAAGGGAAAATTTCAGCTAATAGCTCCTGAAATTCTGGTTTTGATAACAAAATCCTCACATTTTCATGGCTTTTCTCTTTTAGCATCACAAAATCAGCTGTTACATTAATGAATGTTAGTTTTCCCATTTCCCATAAAAATATGTAAATTAAGGAGAACGTCAATAAATTTGTTTCTTAAACTCTGTCCAAAACCCAAAGGAAATAAATAAATATCTGTTTCCTGCACAAGCCACGTTCTGAGCAAAGCTGCTGAGGGTCACTTTGCCCTGTCTGACAAACAACAGAAATTCCATCCATAGACACAGATTTTTGTGTTTGAAATAAGAGCTCTTTGCAGCAAAAGCTAAACTTAAGAATAAGAAATTATTCTATAAATAAATCCATTTAGAAAACAAGAGAAATTATATGCTAAGAATCATCCTCCAGACAAACTGTCATTTCCATGGTAGAAAAAAACCTGAACTATTTATGATATTAACTACATTATCTTTGAGGTGATGCAGAGAATTGAAACTTTTAATTATCTGCCTCTCATTTTCCTCTTTCCTTGGAGATGAGCACACTCACCTGCTTAAATTCACCTCCTCATCATTCAAATCCAAGTCCTTTGCAGTGACATTTTCACCAAGACTTGCTACTGACAGAGAACATCTTCAAGATCAGCAGCTTTCTTTATTGTAGAGCAGTACATGTGTCAAACCTTCTTTAAGGATTGCACAATCACTGCTAAATAACCCTGTGACAGCAGAGATCTCTGCCTGTGCTCTGGATTGACAGAGCCATTGTTCAGCTGCAGCTTTGAAGTCGTTCTCACAAAGTATTTATCCCCTTTTATATACACTGAGACCTGGGGGGAATGATACTTACAAGGAGAAATGAAAAATTAAACACGGCTGTAGGTTTTAGTGGTAGTGCCTAACCTGTAATTCTCAAATGCTGAGAAAATCTGTCTGGAAAGCCAATTTAGTTTTAGAGAACAAAGTGGTTGGTTTTTCATTTTTCATGGAATCTAAAGCCAAAAGACCAAACCAGGTGGAACAAAATTTAAGATGATGATACCACATAATGCCCAGGTTTGCTCCTTGAGACATGGCACAAGAGTGGGTTTATATTATAGCACAGAAAAAATAATTTATTTTCATTTATCTGGACAAGGCCAAGTTGTAGCTTCCTTTAGCTTCAGTCTTTCACTGGGAAATATTTCCTCAGCTCTTGGAAGTGGATGGATGGCCATTATTTTACTGAAAAACATTATAAATGATCATAAACTGACTTAAGCTCTATGTAAAACAGATGCATCATTTCTATAGACATTTTTAACTTTTATATATCTACCCTGGATCTCATGAAGGAAGAGGAATAAACAAGCAGGTTAAAATTTTGAAACTACTCAAAACCAAGTCTATTGCTTGTGGCACTTGACTGTTTTACTGTAGGAATCTCACGGTGTGGAAAATTATTGCCTCCTGTCTAATACAGAGCTGTGTTTTCAACAAACTGAATCTACAATTGCAGCAAAATATAAAAAAATATAAATTGAAACTTCATACTGTGCAGAGCCAAAACAAGTTAAACTTAATTCTGCACTGGCAGGCAAATTCTTGGGCAGAAAAGACATTCCCACTTAGTGAGGGATGAAAATGAGAGGGCTCTGCTCTCACCTGATGGTCTGGTGCTGCAGGGTGTCGGGGTCGGTGGCGTTCACCGTGAGCACCACGCTGCCAACGGGGATGTTCTCCTGCTTGGTCACTGCCATGGGGTTTGGGTGGAAAACGGGGCCCTCGTTGACGTCCTCCACAGTGATCTGGACGGTGGCTGTGGAGCTGGGGCCGTAGGCGATGTCTGGGATCAGCGGGTCTTCGTTTTCCACTTTGATCAGCAGCGTGTGGAAGGCCGAGATCTCGTAGTCTAAGGGCTGCAGAATGGAAGGGCAAAGCTCACACACCATGACAACACTTTTTCCTTTAGCCCATGGCAAACTTGCAGACAGCAGAAGTAGCCAGAAAGGGACAACAACATTCCCTGCACCCAGAACTTGGTGAGAGTTTAGGATTGGACACACTCAGTTCTAAAGGGCACTGAAGATAATAAACTTCAAAACATAACAGACTTCAAAACCCGTGGAGACATCCCTCTGCCCAAGAGCTTACATTTTTTGCCATTTACAGACACAATTCAATGCTCATATATACATGTTTATTTATATGTAGCATGTATTTAACAAACAAATGAGTCACATTCAGTAGCTACTCATGACAATAACACAAGCTGCTTTCTCAACTCCTGTCTTAAAATCAAAGGCACTGCCATGGAAATACATGCATTTGTCTTAAGAATTGACAATGCCTCTTCTGAAGCAAAAAAGAGAGCATTCTGGTACAGGCAGCAAACAGGGCTATTTTCTTCTTTTTTTTTTATTTTATTTATTTGTTAAATTTGAGATACAGGACTGTCTCCGTACAAAGACAGGCAATGAATTTTCCTATAAGGCTTTAGAAATGTGGGACTAATCTTTAGAAATGTGGATTCAGTCTGAATCCATGTCCCTTTCTTCCCTGCTACTTGCGTATGTTCTCTAAGTGAGAACAAAATGGGGCTCCTGAATTCTAATTGTACCTCCAGCAACAAACAAATCTTTGTTGTCAAATCTCACTATTAATTGTGATGATTACTGCAAGTCTGGGTGTTATTTAAACACAATGGCAATACAGTTAGGAACAGGCAGTCCTTGTGACTAAAGAATAAGGTTACTGTGACAGAAGAAGGGGTTATACACACAGTTTGGACAAGGGCTGGCAGCCAACTTTATATCTTGGAACAACCTATCCCTGCTGTGCCTTGCTTCATGCAATGAACCCAGGGGATGGACCCGACAGCAAAGATACAGGGCAGGAGGGGATTGCTCTTACCTTGACAACAGAGAGCATCCCCTCATTAGTCTGGGGGTTGGTGTGGATCTCAAAGCTCTGCCCTGGGTTCCCGTTAATGATGGAGTAGACGGCTCTCCACGCCCCGGTGGCGGGGTCGTCCCGGTCACCCACAGTTAAGTTCACTATTACACCTGTCACCCCCTCCTTCACTGTGGCCTGGAACTGGAAAATAAAACACAGAGGAAATCATTACTGTTTCCACTTAATGACCACACACACACACAAAATATCCAAGGCAGCATTAATTATTTACCCCAGCAGGAGGAAGGTGGAATCCTTGACCGAAACTGAACGTTGTGGGCTTTAAATAATACATTCTCACTTATGAAATATGAGGTAGCACATTTCAGCTGTTCTTCACTTAATAGATGGAAGATAAGCAGAGATTTTATAGGAATGGAGCTTGAGATGGTTCTGGTCACAAGAAGAGAGCTCAGCTCATATTGCTGGAAAGTGAAGCATGAAAATGCCAGCAGTGCTGCACAGCTGCATGTATTTCCAGCACAGGAACTGAGGGAAGAGGAACCTGCCTTGTACAGACCACTCATGCCTTCAAATCTACTTTTATTTACAAACAGCTCCAGTTTTGCATTTCACACTCTTTTTTTTTCATGAATTATCCCACCCACATTCCTTTTTACAATGCATCGTTACCAGGACACAAAACAGGTCTCACAAAAACCATTCCCAAAGCATTTTTTTGAGGGTTTGCTCTAAGACATCCAAAAATAATTGGACCTCATGCTACCACTTTGTCTGCATAACTAAAAGCCAGTGCTGTTTTGTTTTTGCAGCAGAAGAATTTTTTATGATCTTGCGAAATGCGTTGCTGAACGATTCAACCAGCCAAGCTCTATAAGAAAATTCTAGTTTATTCTCCATCATTCTTGTTTATGTAGGGAAAAAACATTAAGCAAACCATTGGAAAAGCTTGTAAGGGTCACACTTAATAACACTCCTCACCTTTCAAGTACTTGAGGCTGACGTGCTAAAAGCACTGTATAAAAGAGTGATAAGAAAATGCCTGCTTTGGAGGTGGATAAACCAGGCTGATAACAGACCTAATCCTGAGAAGTGCTGAACATCAGCACTGCCATTACAGATCATTAAGAAATCTTAGCATTTCCAGGGATTAAACCTTCAAAAGTCCAAAGTTACAAACTTTAATGACACAAATAGGTTTTGCTGTACTATGGTTGGTGACAATGCATCACTCAAGGGCAAGAGTCACCCAAGTGGCTTCAAGACCTGAATAAACTAAATGTCTTTTTCTCTTACAGAACACAAGAAGTCATAACATTGCAGAAGAGTTTGTGAAAATACCAAATCCAGAAAATGGCGTTTTATTAATATATAGATTTCCCAATCTGAACAAATAGGAGGTAAAGTGGATTTCCTCATATGAAAATAAAGAAAAGATGACTATGTCTTCCCCTGTGTTCACTTATCTTCGTTTTTCTTCTTTTTCCAATAGATTTCATTTATCTTCCCAAACCCTTTTTCAATTTGTCTGTGTAATTTGAGTGCATGCACTCAGTTCAAGCTTTCCAGCCTCAAACTTGGTTTCATAAAAGGATGACATTAATAACTGGCTATTTCGATCTTCCTTGGTGAATATAACAAAGAATTTAAAGATTCTTTTGATTTTGATAGTTAATATGTAACAGGTTGTGATTGAGCTTTGTTTCAGACACTTCATTAAGCTCATTTGCAGTTTAATTAGCTCTAAATGATAATATAACAATATTTTCACTTGCTTTGAAACAAATTAAAAGGAAAACTCTATTAAGAATCTCAGAAACAACGGAAGAATGGTTACCAAGTTTGTGTTCCTTCCAGCTCAGCCAAATGTTGTCACAAGCAGACTTGGATACCTCTTACTCTGATTGAAAATAACCAATTAGCCTGACTGATATTTTATATTATTTCATATTGTCCCAACTTGAGCATGCATAATGAGACATTAGACCCAAAAGGGTCAGAATTTTTCCCACAAGTGGTCGGTACCCACCAATTTCCATTCAGCTGCATAAAAAAATGTGACCAGACTTCAAGGAGCCTAATACTAAAAAATCTAACCCTTAGATTTGACCAGGCATCTGCTCCTAATTCATATTGATCCTTCAGAAAAATCTCTTCCTAAATCCTCCAGTCTGATTCAATTAAGTGTTCAATACTCCCTGGCTCACCTTGGGAGCTGTAAGAGCTGTTAGGGTAAAATATTAAAAGATATGGCTGTTTTATTCAGATGCATTATTGTGAAGCCTGTGAGAGGAATTTATTATTTTTACCCCATCAGTGCCAGACTGGGATGGAAAAGGTTGCCATGGTGTACCAGCTAGTTAAAAAAATATGGAATGTCCAGCTAAGGATATCTAAATCAAGGATATCTCAGTTGGGATTGGCTTTCTCCTGCATCCCTGTTTTCTCCTGGTTTAGGAAGAGCTCTCAGGAACTGCAGCTGAAGAGAGAAAGGGCACATGGACCTGCTGGGGGCACAGCACTGCTGAGCTTCTGACTCCTGCAGGTCAAGGAAATGCCAGCATCCGCAGAGAAAGGCTGTGCCAAGCCAAATAATTCCTGCTACAGTGGTACCCTCACCCCTAGCATCCTTCACATTTTGGAAATGACCACGTAAAAACAGATATTTGAAGCTGTCTGGGAGGTTAGAGTAAAATCTGTTCAAGATGGATGGAAAAGCAGAATGATCAGACCACAGAAGTTGTCACAGAGGTCTACTCTAAATTTATAATGTGAAAAGTGTAATAAATCACAGATTTATGATAGCAAAAGACACATATCTACTGTGAAACCATGTCCCTAGAAAAATATAGTGTATTTTATCTAGAAGGTGAACTCTTTTGTCTGTTCAGTCACCTTTATGTAAGGAATAAAGCTCCCAACATTTAGAAAAATCTGTTGCACTTATACTGAGTCCCTTTCAAAAGCAAAGGTAAAAAAGGGAATTTAAAAATGATAAAAGGGCAAAAATAGGAATTAGATTTGGAAACAGAAAAAAAAGAACCACAGGTTCCTCATATTTCACAGTGAAAGGTTTGCACTCTCAAAGCACAGTGCTTAACTGGGAAAGTCTGAACCAGTGCTCTAAAATAAAACCCCACAGTGGCTAACACAAATAATTGGATCACAAGTTAATTGATTTTACTCATTTTAAATATCTGCACATCCCCTAAGCACCACTATAAATTAAGAATAAAGTAGATGAGTTTGGTACTTTATTTAAACTGCTATCATTTGGACCCATTTTAACACTAATAACTTAGAAAGCAAATACCCTGGGCCAGAGTGGGTTTGCTGGAAGGAAATATGTGCATTTACTGCTTCTGAGTATTTGAAATGTGAGGTTAACCTGCTCTGTGATGTGCCACTCTGTCATTTATTGTGCCAGAGATTTTAGCAATTCTGTCATTTTTAAAGTTTTATAAATATAAGGGAGAAAAAAGATGCAGTTCTTCTTTCTTTGTATCCGAAATCCTGTGGCAAAATACACAGAAAATGAACTGATACGAACTTGGAAGGAAACACTGAGTGGCCAGCAGCTACTGGGGAACTGAAAGATTTTGAGGAAATATAGTGATGGATGTAAATGAAGAGAGTGAGGCTTGTGAGGGTGCATAAATGGACTTGAAAATGTAACGAGTCAGCGATGTTTGCCATCACGATGGACTGAGGGGAAGCAGATGAGCACAGTGGAATTCTCCTGAGGGATCACCAGCGTGGTTCCACAGGACATGGAGGTCCTGGAGGGTGACAAGGAGCAGTTTCTGTTTCTTACAGGAGTCAGCACAAGGAAGGCAAGGAGACCAGAAATGTTGAAAGCAGCTGTGCTCAAACACAGCCTGAGCAGAGGAGAGAGTCCCATCCCAACAGACTGCTCCTCCCTTCCCTGGATTTTACAGGTTTAATTTAGGGGTTGTTTCTTGTTGGAGCCAGGGGTAGCACTGAACCAAATCACCCTCCATGAACTGAAAGGACAGTGCACTGCCAGCTCTTACTGACAGAAAATTCCTCTGCATGGTCTCAGGACAAACCAGTCTTGTCAGATTCCCACCACAGGGCAGGTACACAAAAAGATCACTTTGCAAAACCTTATCACCTGAGCATCCAGGCACCAACCCCACCTCATCTCAGACACAGCTGAAAATCAGGTTCTTATCTCACAGCCTCATTTAAAGCTGCTGTAGTAAATGAGATTCTGTTTACTGACTTCTGAGAGCAGATGAAGAGATGAACTTGAGTCCATCAGAACCACCTGAATGCCTCCTGTCCAACAGCAGTGTGAGCAGGCACGAACAACAACTTCATGAAGCCACTAAAAAACTGTCTCAGAGTGGGGCACTGACACCCAAATTAAAGAGCTGCTACAAGCAGCAAACACAAAGCAAGATAAACGTGCCTGGGGTCGGTGATCACTACCCAACGGCTCATTAAGATTCTGCACGCTGTGATTCCCAATCAGGAACAAACAAATTAAAACTCTGTGTCAGTTTGCATTTATCAGGGTGATATTCCAGTGGAAGGTATTCTGTGCTTTCTTTCCTCTTCTATATATCATAAAAGATGGAAAATAATGGGATGTATTAAATTCATATGTCTGTGTTTGAAATTCCACAGAGAAATTGTATTATTGCAATTATCTCCCTCCACTGAAGCCCACTGCCTTTGTTACCATATTTTGTCTGTTTAATTTCCTGAGAATGTGATGACAAGTTATAGAATCTCTTGCAACCTGCTTTTTGCCTTTTCTTTTGCAGGCTGTCATTCAGTACAAATGCACCTGAACTGCCAGGATTTATTTGCCAAGGAAACAACATATTCTCCATAGCTCTGTACCTGGAACATCTCCAAGTACAAATGAATTTTCAGAGCAGTCACAAAGGTCTGCATTCTGGATCAATCAGGAATGAGAGTCTCATAAACGTCAGAAACGAGCATTTCAGGTGGAACTCAGTGGGACACAAAGCCCAGTCTCCAAAGGACAAACCAAGTCATGGGTGTTTGAGGCAGGGGAGGCACAAGGAGGAAAGAGAGTTTGTGATTGCCCAAAGTGGTGCAGCTGATCCTGCTGCCTCTTTCCTCCCATCCCAAGGGACTAACCTGGGCCCCTGGAGGGCTGGAAAACTCCACCTGAGCAAAATCAG